CTTGGGTTTCGGAATGCCGACTTCCTACAAAATGTTATTTTGTGTTTTGTTATCACAATCGACGTCACTGCACATTGGGCATACCCATGCGTGCGCAGTCCTCCGAAGCAGCAGCCACTCCAAAGTACTTCTACTAATTGTCCCCATGAGAAGCTGGTTATATTGTCTCCTTTCTCGGCCTCGCAGACGGCAAAGACGTGCTTCACCATGCTTAACTCCCATGTCACGCAATCGTGTTAGTGTCAGGGATTCGATATTATCCACTAGCCCAGTACGTACAGCGTTAACGATATCTGCTCTGTCCATGCTTTTTCCCGCAATCATTAGTGCTGTGCTTGCCAGTTGGTCCGCTCGCTCATTTCCCTTTACGCCCGCATGACCCGGTGTGTAGATCCAGGTTACGGAAGTTAAGTGCGATTTCCGAATGCTTTCTATCCATTCAGAGCGCATACTGCCAGTTGCTATTTTCTGAAGCATATTCATTGAGTCTGAGACAATTACTGCTTGTGTGGCGGTTTGCTCGGATACCCATGCTAAAGCTCTAGAAGCAGCGGCTATTTCCATGGTCATGCTTGACGTGGTTGTCTGGTAAGCGCCGCTATCTTCATGTATTGTTTTCCCCCTTCTTTGCGCTGTGTATGCCCATGCTGACCTTGATCCGCGCTTCACGGACCCATCTGTGTAGATGATGATATCTTCTGGGTCTGAATGCTGATCTATCAGTTCCCTTACTTTTGTGTCTATGTATGTATGTATGTATGTATGTATGTATGTATGTATGTATGTATGTATGTATGTATGTATGTATGTATGTATGTATGTATGTATGTATGTATGTATGTATGTATGTATGTATGTATGTATGTATGTATATATGTATATATGTATGTATGTATATATATATGTATGTATGTATGTATGTATGTATGTATGTATGTATGTATGTATGTATGTATGTATGTATGTATGCATGCATGCATGCATGCATGCATGCATGCATGTATGCATGCATGCATGCATGCATGCATGCATGCATGCATGCATGCACATGCATGCATGCATGTATGTATGTATGTATGTATGCATGCATGCATGCATGCATGCATGCATGCATGCATGCATGCATGCATGCATGCATGTATGTATGTATGTATGTATGTATGTATGTATGTATGTATGTATGTATGTATGTATGTGTGGTGTGTGTGTGTGTGTGTGTGTGTGTGTGTGTGTGTGTGTGTGTGTGTGTGTGTGTGTGTGTGTGTGTGTGTGTGTGTGTGTGTGTGTGTGTGTGTGTGTGTGTGTGTGTGTGTGTGTGTGTGTGTGTGTGTGTGTGTGTGTGTGTGTATGTATGTATGTATGTATGTAGGTAGGTATGTGTGTATGTATGTATGTATGTATGTATGTATGTATGTATGTATGTATGTATGTATGTATGTATGTAGGTATGTGTGTATGTATGTGTGTATGTGTATGTGCTTGTATGTGTGCTACTCTATTAGCCTACTTTGTAATTTATTCCGGAATCTTTTTAACGATATTAAGGTTTTTACGGGCGCTTTTGTATGTGTTTGTGTGTATGTATGTGTGTGTATGCATTTATATATATATATATATATATATATATATATATATATATATATATATATATATATATATATATATATATAAACATACATTTACTTATTCGCATTTAAACAAGACTTACACTCCCAGCCCCTTACCTTTACATTTTTTTGGGAGGGGGCCTACCTGTCCGACTATCCAATCGCGTGTCTGAATGCCTATCTGTTTGCTGGACTTTTTACCTATCATCTGGACTGTACCTCGGTACATACATCCGCCTGTTTTTGTCCGCCTGTTTGTTTAAAATTCTTGCATTTTCATACATTATCCATACACGCTAACTCGCTTTACGTGTCCTTCTCTACAAACGTCCACAGCGCTCTGCATCGATTCTCTAGAAGAATGGGATGCTCTTGGTACAAAGAGTGTGATAACCAAATTACTTACGATGTAGCTGATCTGTCTCCGGAATGGCAAGTCACGATGTTTTTGGATGCAGACTATCAAGAACTGTTTAGCGTCCAGGAGACCAACACACTCGTCTCCAGGTGGAAGTATCTGATGGAGAGCAAGAGATCCATTCACTTTGGGAGGACTTTGTTTGCAAAGTGAGCCCTACCGACCGGTAAAACATTATGTTCTATCTATCTTATTGTCTTTCTCTGCTTAATGCTGTTGGGCATCGCAGGCACGGCTAATAATGGGCTTATGTTATAGTTCGCGCACGTTAGCTTGCTGCATGGTGATATTTTTGAATTTCAGTAAGTTGTTAATTTCATCTATTTATATTCATCTTGACCTTTCTCTTGATGCTCACATTCTCATATTATACTCTTGCAACTGATAACGCTGGGTTAATTTTGAACAGGTGACTAAACCATGTCAGTCTTTGTTATGGTGGGAATAACACCTGTCCGTAACTATTTCATGTGTTGTTCCCAGCATTGTAATGATATCTATGATTTTTTATATGGTTCTCTTTTTGTTACTTTGACTGCTTTTTCTCAAACATCTCATTTCACGTGTCGTTAGTTTCCATTTTTTTTTTGTTTTTTTTTTTTTGGTTCTTTTATTAGCGCCAAGGTTTGCCATTGGTAACATAATGCTGGTTAAAAAAAAAAGTAGTGCGTTAATGATTTGTCTTTTAGTTTATATTGGCATTACTAGGTGTTTTGGTATTGGGTAAAGTTGATATCTAACACCGTTGACTTGTTGGTTTGTGAACCTGACCTCTCTGTGCAGTCTGCTGTCTAATGTTATGTTTCCAAAAAATTTTGAGTTCGCCCACTTGTTTTAGTAGATTATTATATCGCATTATCAAAATAAAAGCCAATGTTCAATTTATTGCCAGAAAAATTTCGCTGCATCTGGTCAGGTGCATTCTACATTAACAAATTATTAAAATGAAGCAAATAAACGAATTCTTAGAATTGAAATACAAAATCGACTACTCTAAAACTGTCTGTTTCACCAGGGTAAACGCAAGGTGAAGAGCATGTCTTGTTGTCTGCATAATTCTGGACTAAACTGGTTTATTGCGGTCGCATTCCCAAATCTCATTAATCTACGGTTAGTTGAAATGTAAATAATTAAAAATGCAACCTCCTTGGTTAAAATGTGCCCAGAGTATAAAATATGACACAAAGTGGCTGGTGTTTTTTTTATTCCCCTGCCAGTCACCTGATTCGTTGTTGTTGAGTTGCTAATATTTTACAATGCTTTTACAACCTATAGTAGAATATGTTCTGCAGCATTATAGGTGCATTTAAATTTGTAAATACATTTAAAAATGGCATACGTCGACTGGTTCTTTCACCGGTGGCGTAAGGATTAAGGTGGTTTTAAATCTGACAACAGACAAGGCTGCGTAAACATTCTTCTTCTTCTTCTTCTTCTTCTTCTTCTTCTTCTTCTTCTTCTTCTTCTTCTTCTTCTTCTTCTTCTTCTTCTTCTTCTTCTTCTTCTTCTTCTTCTGCGTTCAACATCAGTGATGCTAAACATTGAGTCCCGTCTGGGTCACAAATAGGATTGTGCGTTTAAGGTCGCCACCGGTCCCCTATAGCTTCTCTCGCAATGTGGATCCCCTGGGCCAGATCCACAGTCTTTGCTGGGAGAGGTAAGGGCAGTACTGCAGTATGTGCTCAGGGGTCTGTCTTTCTGCTCCACAATCACAGGCAGCAGATTCACACGTAAAAAGTGTGACTGACTGCTGTTTTGAGCCATATATTATCAGTAACAAATGTCATATCTAAATGATTGCTAGTGTAATTAACTAAATATATGGTTTTATAATTACAAAAAAATTATTTTTATCGTTAATGAGGTAGGTCTGTACCAACCAGTCAAGAGAGGTTGGCGTCAGTTTGTAGTTTCTTAATTTGTTTCCTGTACATAATTAAAATAGTATGTGAAATCTAAAACCTGTGAAAGGAGTTAACGTGATAGAATGCCACATCAGTAACATTATAAAGGGAGAAGATAAACTGTTAAATGAAAGAAATGAAAAGGACCTCCAGCAATTTGATGTATGCAATAATAGTTCACAGTGAGAAACTAGGTTTAGAGTTAAACTGTAAGGTAACAAAAATTATAATCGTACCACACATACCAAAGTGGGAAATATACGTCAACTGCAACATCTGCTTGAGAGGCGAGGAACGAACCAACAGTCTGCTTACAGATAAGCCAGATATGTAAAACGGATGCATACGAAAAAACGTTAGGGAACAGGATTGAACTCCAGCAGTTGGCGAACAGCCAGAACTTTCCACCGGAATTTACAGCCGATAATCGCAAAGAAGAAGATGCTCAAAGATATTTTTAAAATGGAAATACTCAAAAACATCGCAGTGTCTTGGCCGTTTTTGGACATTTTGAGTAGACAAAGAGATGATGGAACTATTAAAAGGTCAGTTTATGATAAAGACACTTGGACAGGTCATCGTATCCATTTCAACAGTTCTACAACCATGCAATATAAGCGTGGCCTAGTGCAGACATTATTCAACCGTGCAAGGAAGATTTGTTCCAGCGACACATTACATACAGGAATACAAACACTGCTTTATGTGGACGTCTAAGTAGTTTTATTAAGCGCAGTTACCAGCCACCTTAACCAGATGCCACAGAAATGTCGGTTCAAAAAAGAAAAAAAGTTTACATTCATCTAATTGTTCGGGGAGATGACGTTTTGCAACGTTAATATGACTGGCTCAAAACAGCAGTCAGTCACACTTTTTACGCGTGAATCTGCTGCCTGTGATTGTGGAGCAGAAAGACAGACCCCTGAGCACATACTGCAGTGATTGTGTGGCGGTAATAAGATGCTTCAACTAGAGAACTGAGCACCTGAGATTAGAGTGAAGTTATAATGACAGTGATAAGTTTACGAACAAAAGACGTAACTTTGTGAATTTTATAAACTAGAACCGCAGAGAGCCCTCAAGTTGAGGTCTTTCCTAGCTTTTCCTAGCTGTTATAGCTTCTTCCCAGCTTGCCAATCTCCCAATGTAGGTTCGAGCACGTAGACACTCTGTTTCTGCTATCAGAACTGACTGGTCATCACCCCAATAGGAACTATAATCATTGAAACAAACACATATGTAAATACACCAAGCCTGCATATACTAAAAAAATATTTCCAACATCTCCTCTTCATATTCCACATTCTCTCTGGTCTAGAATAAAGCTCTTATGACTCACACTGATGTCCTACGTATCCTGCCTTCCCTCTCATGTACTGTCATGACAGCTGACTTCCTAAGTCTGTTGTTTGTATTCACTCAGATTTCTAAAATGGCTGACATTGTTTCGATATGAACACGTGGTGCAGGTATTGTGCAGAAAACCCTAAACATTTTATATATGCATGCTGTCCGGAATATTATCTTTCCCGTGACAGTGAATTATTCCCCGCGGTTTTCAATCCTATGTAAAGGTGTACACATTTAGTGAGCTCATGGTGGGCAACCACATGGCTGCACATGTGGGCATAATTTCCCCACAGTTCAGATTCATGTTTTGGTTGATGGTTAAAACATTTTAATTTCATTACATTTTATTATACGAGTCTCATTTTATAAAAATAAAAACATACACTGAAAAACATGTGATACAAACATACAAGAAAAAAGAATGGTTTAACAGTTCCCTGAACTGAGGTAACGGAATACTTATATAGCACTATTTTAAGCAGAATGTGTAGTTAGATAAATAAGAGCAGGAAGAGTAGACTTAGCTAGCCTCCTAACCTATGAATCAAAGACTGAAAATAATATATAATCATACCTGGGAACATTCAAGGAAATTGTCAAACAAGACCTACACAGCTAGAATGACTGAGGATCTAACTTGTTGGCCTGCTGGCAGCACTATTTAGTAAATTTTAGATGCCTAGCATTATAATATGTACGCTAATCCATCTGCAACGGTAACTCCTCCCCTTTACTAGTATCAAAACTGTCTTACGTGAGAGAATCTAAGCCAACCCCCCCCCCCCCCCTTTTCCTCAAAGTACCTTACGGATCTAGTTATTTTTCACTATGGCTGTCAGTCAGTTCTTGACCGCCCCTACCCTGATCAAACATTCTTAAGTAGGGAAATCTAGTTTACCCTAATATCACTGACAGGTGTCAAAAGCCCAACAAGGGAAGCCTCATGTCTGGAGTTTCCTACTTCACCAGGTTAATTTCCCTGATCTGGTCGGTTCAAGGGGCCAGTCTGGCCTGTTATATAACTGTTATCACACTCTAGTCGGCGTTTCCCAGGTAGAAAGATTAGCTAGATTAGGTAATGTTATGTAATATTAAAGAAAGCTTGGTTGCTTTGTATGGGCTAAGGATTGGAAACAATTTTAAATTCCACATGGTTCAAGTATTTTGTTGGGCTTAGTGCACAGTAAACATATTTCTTTGTCTCTCTGTGAACATAGGAAATTATTAAACATAATAACTTCTGAAAACACTGAGGTCATTTCGTCACATAGACCCCCGGTTAAAGTTGGTCTAGCCAGCTAGGACCAATGTTTAAACACTCAGTTATTTCCAGGAATTTTAGTACACCCTCTAAGCTCCATAGCTGTCCCAATGTTTCCTTCGCCAGTATTCCTTGTGGAATCGTGATGTCCTGCATCGCTGTACAATCACCATGTGTCTGTTCTTCCTGGCTAACTTTAGTCCTATAATCTTGCGGGAATTCCGAGCAGAAGCTCAGTAATGTCCTCTTATCTGATATTCCTTCTTTTTCCACAACCCAGGAACTCCATTTTTAATCAACCCTTCTCTGCGCCGCTGATATACATTTTATGTCCCTCTTGTCACTTGGCAGTGCGCTATCTGCAAAAATAGGGCTTAAAGTGATTTCCTAAACGGATGGGTCATAGTCAGTTTGGTCACCGCTCTTTTTCTCCTGCTGAATTCTGTCAATCTCCTCATTCTATGAGGGGTATGGTCACACATCATAACTCCATGATGTAAACAGAACTTGACACTGCCTTTTCCTCGGTAGGGCAATAGATCCGTTCTCCCTTGCCACCTTCACTCCTTACCTAGACAGCTCCAGATTGTTTCCAGTACATGTTTTCATCAGTATAAGATCTTTCCCCTAAATTTGTAGATTTGTAAACATTTGCTATGCAAACACACACACATACACACAATGGTATCTACCAAATAGTATTATTACATATCTTCACCCAGATTTTTCCTGTATGCTCCGGAAACGCAGAAGTTCTTTTTCCGTGAGCGCGAGAAAGTGCCTATACGTCCCTACGATTGGCAAAGATACCCTTTATTTAAGTCGCACGTTCGGAGGGTAATCAATGGAATAGACTACACCATATCATTATTACACTACCCAGAAGAACTTGCGCGCCACTTGAATCGGATGAGAGAAGTTCACCACGGTTATTCTAACATGAAGATAATCTACGGAGAGGTAATCTTATTTATTTTTTTAACGACTATTTTGAATACAGTGAGATCTATTTGTTGCTAGACTTTTTTTTTTTTCAATGTGTCTAGTTCTTTGAGTCGGCTCTGTGGCTAAGTCGATGCGAACGCTTCGTAATGCCAGGATGCTGGGTTCGATCCCAGCTGCGGGCCATATGCCTTGCGTTGGTTTCGACAGTGGTATCAAGAAAGCCCACAGTCCAGTAGGCAATGGCAAACTACTGGACGTAAATTTGCCTAGAAAAACTACACAACAGCCAGGGGCTGTTGGGGTTGGTTGTGCAACGTCCTGTAAAGGATACGCAACTAACCTAGTTCTTCGTCATCTCCCTGTGGGATGCAATTTTTCTTTATTTTGCAGCGCCACCCTGGCTGTTGCCGGGGGCCGCAATATAGCCCAACAGTTGAACGCAGTTTCTGGGACCTCCTAACGGGTGATTCTCATCTACATAGTGGCTCTTTGTGTCACCGGGTGTTTATCGCTCTGCGTGATATCCTGGTGGGGTAATTTTACCTACGTACTTTTGTTAGTTTTTAACCGTTACAGAAGTTGAAAGGGATATTTGGGGTTTATTTACTTGATCTGCCATCCAAACTGAGATTGTGTAAGCACAGGGTGGCAAATATTTAAGTAGCAGCCCGGAAGGAAAAACGGAGGTAAAGAAATTGTATAGAGAGATATATTTTATTGCCATGCATATTTCGCTGTATCTCGTCATGTGCGTTACTTCAATTACCCAAACATAAAATGAAATACAAAACTGATAAGCCCAACTGAACTGTTTTTTTACGCATCGTGTTCAGTCGCCGGAAGTCCACTGCAGTCATGTGACCTACCAGGAAACTTCAAATTTACTGTAAATTCCGTGTGTCACTATGCTCATCTAGTTTCGTCCTTTTTAGGACGAAATTTTTTGTTATTTGAAGCCCCACCCTGGCTTTTGCCAGGGGCCGCAATATAGGCAGGCTATAAACATGGCCAATTGTCTGAACGCGGTTTCTGGGACCTCTCCACGGCGATCCTCATCCGCATGATGGCACTTTGTGTCATCGGGTGTTTATCGCTTGTGTGATGTCCTGGTGGGGTAGAAAGTCAGTCAGTCAGTCTGCTTACAAAGGAGGGTGTTGTTGCATTTAATTGTGAAATCTTCGGCCATTCTCAGCAGTCGCCTATTCGGTGTGTGATAAGCCACACGGAAAGCACTGTGTGTGTCAATTATTTGTCCGAAATTAAGCAGATGACGTCCTATGGTAGAAGTGGATTCTTTCCTCTTGACTCGCCTCGATACCCTTGAAGAATCACTGGGCTGTATATGTAGCTGTTTAGGTAAATGCTTTGCCACTATCTTTCAAGCTGTTTCTCCGTTTGACCGAAGTAAGTCAACTGGCTCTTACACGTAAACTGGTAAATACAGTTGGATTAGGTGTACAAAGAGTTCAGAAAAAAAGTGAAAGACAAAAATTTTGTTTGTATAATCAGAAACTGTAACAAGGAAAAGCTACCAGTTGCCGTAACTAAAACAGTAAGCCAACTTACCCAACATTTCGGACCAGTCGTATTTGAATCCACAGAAGTGGCCGGATTTTTCAGACCAGTGCGTCTCCAAATTTAAGTCAAAGTGAGAGGATCAACTTCACTGTGCAGGGTTTTTATCCTAAATGGCCTGATCTTGCTCCGAAGAATGAAAAGATACCTGTTAAGCACGAACTCCGTAGCCCAAGCAACAATTCACAAGAATCTCCACAAAAACTTCACATGCGAACTGAAGGACGACACATTGGTGAAACAATCATACAACAGAGCGCGAGGCTAATTGTTTGATCATTTCGTAACCGTCAACCCCCTCCCCCTCCTTTATCCTCCCCCTTGTCCAGTTCTTCTCTGTAAAACAGATCTGGACGCAAAGCTCAAGTTCTGGGAGATGACCACAGTCCAGGTATCGACCAGCAGCTAGCGCTTCCGCTGGCGTTAAAACATGGTAAACGTTAAAATATTCGATAAGCATCCAGCTTGCCTTGTTACATTGTTCTATGGTATTATTTTAAAACTATACTTCAACTTAGAAAATATACTCTCAGCTCGAAGGCTATCGAAATTGCATGTGGTGCCCCCTCTAATCGTGATGCTCCAAGCACGTGCTTTATGTGCTTAATGGTTACAAAATACCCTGCAGTCCAATCTGGAGGTGGCATAAAAACTAACAATCTTAAGAGTCCTGTAGGTTTAAAGTAATAAAATAAAGTAGAAACGGGAAAACGATTTAAAAGCAACAGAAGAAAAGAACAGAAATGGAGAAACATACATCGTGTATATAGTCAGGCCGCATAAACTATATAGGCATGTACAACATGTGTAGGTTCACAGAGCGGCAATATTTTGGGGATGCTAAAATTATTGAAGGCAGCAAAATATAACTAGTTAAAAATGTTAACACATAAACAGGGGTCGTAAATTAAATGACTACACATGTCATACATCTTAAATATGGGCTTTTTCTTCTGCTTCTTTTTATTTCAGCATTCCGAGCCCTTTAGGTTCATTGCTGCAGATATCACCCGCCTCCATTCATCTCTCTGGTTGGACTTCTTTTTCCAGTTGATGACACCAAGTGTTTGCAGGTCTGATTGGATATTATCTCTCCGTCGTCTTCTTGGTCTGCCTTTTGGTCTACAACCATTCTTCTCCCTCGTGTATACAGATTTTACTTCTCTGTTATCTGACAGTATTTCAAAATTCCCAAACCTTTTTAATCTATTAGCTCTCATGATGCCAGTGATCAGTGGTGATTTAAACATATAATGAATTTCGTTGTTGCTTCTCACTCTCCATTCACTGCTGTACGCATTTTTGACGGGTCCAAAGATTCATCGTAAGACACTGTTTTCAAAAACCTTAATTAAGGCTTCATCTCTTTTAGTTGTGCTTCAAGATTCATAGCCATATTTAAATAAGGACTTGTAAATAGTAAATATTAAACGCACAGTAAGTTGTTGGTACTGAAGGAATAAAAAAATTTAAAAAAAAGCTAATACAAAGGCTAATTTTTGTTGTTGTTGTTTCAGATATTCATTAAAGCATTCGATGCCACTGTAGCTGAGGCCCTGGGCCAGTTGTACACAAACGAGTGTAAAATTGTGTTTAGGAAATTTCTGACACTGTTGTATACCGAAATTTTTCAAGGCATTGATCACATTGAAAATATAGTACCGTCTTCAGCGTAGACATTGATTGATACTAAAGTATGAATGACAAGAGAAGTTTACAAATAGCGATGACTTAAAAATGAATATTTAGACTATAGGTCATGCTTGGCTATAAAAGTTGAACAGAGGATTTATATGTATGAATAAAATTACATGTATATGCATGCTTATATACAACTGGCGGTTTGTTTTGTCACTTCATGAACCACCATTATAATTATCATCTTAGACACACAAAAATTATAACGTTGGGTTACCAGTTGCCGTTGACTATTCAACATCTCCCTGATCTCTTTTTGTAGGATGCAAGGGACCGGTCTGCATGACTGAGGCCTGTGCATTGATCCAGATTATATATCCACATCTTTTTTGGTCTGCCTCTTCTATACTGATTTTATTTATGATTTGATTCAAGAACAGACATCACAACACTCGGGGCATTCCCATAAGCGCTCCGTCCCCATCTTCAGCAGCCAGGGAAGAGTTCCGATACTAATGGTGCCAGTAGCATTCTGATTAAACGTCCGTCTTGCATTTCCTTTGAGCCTCGAGCATCTGCCGGAACCTCTCGTCACTCCCCCCTGCATCAATCTCACCAGACTGTGGTGATCCATCTGCTCCTCCTAACTGTACAAGCTCTTTCTACACTGATTCGAAATCATACAAAATGAATTGATAAGGAGGAAGATAACAAAAAATAAAATTATGGCCATAGTGAAACCCTAGTATCATGTAAATAAATCGTAATATTAAAAGTGCAGATGATTTGTGACTCTCCCCCATAACAATTTGCATGACTTCTGTTCCCAGAATTCCATGTTTTGGTTCCGGGGCCCCATTGTAGGGAAAACAAGAATTGACCCACTTTCTACCCAAAAGCATGTAGTAAGAGTCGACTAATTGGGAGCCTTCTTCGAAGTCGGAGTGCATCTGCCTGCGAGGCAAGGAACTAACAGTCTGCATACATATGAGTCAGATCTGTAAAACGGATGCACAGGCAACACTCAGGTTCTGGAACTGGGCTACAGTCCAGAAGTGGGCGAACAACCAGAACTTTCCACCAGAGTACAGCTGGTGAATGCGAAGAAGAAGAAGTTCCCAGAATGATTACCAGCTGTCCCTAAGTTTTAAATTTTGTTCCGTTTTAACATGTACAACAAATGCAGTCTTCCTAAATGGATAATAAAACACATGATACTATCTATCAGGTAGTCGACGTGGCTTAGCGTCTACACTCTAGCGTGCGGATAGGAAGGTCGTGGGTTCGCTCTCTAGCGGAGCCGGACTTTTTTCAAAAGTGACCTTGACTCCCAGATTGACCCAGCCTTGAGTGGGTACCGGGTGCAGTCCCGGAAAGTAAAGGCGGCCGGCATGAAGCCGACCCTATCACCCATCTTGTGCCGATCGGTCTATAAAAATATAGGTCGTCCTTTATACCTACAAGTTTGGAAAAAGACCTTTACTTTTTACTATCTATTACCAACAGAAATTATCTAAGTACAAAAGTGTCTTACATAACGCAGGATGGTAGCGTCCCTAAAGACATCCTCTATGGTGAAATACAGATGATGATGAGGTAGATGTCTCTGTTGGTCTCTACTATGATATAAAATGTCAGGACATGAATGATAGAGTCATTCAGCACAAAATGCCATGGACTGTGCTGAGTGTAGGGAGAACATCAGAAAGGAATATGACAATAGGAAACAATGATTATAGACAGGTTGAGATCTGAGCGCCAGAAGAGGGACACTAAATAGGAAACAATGATTACAGACAGGT